TCCACTGTTCTACCGTGTCCAGCTGCCCCCTCGGGCGCCCTGTCAGGCCTGTACCTCCCCTTGTTCTCGACGAACTTGGTGAGTGGTGCTGCCCTACAGGATGCGGGGGTTCACCAGTTTACTCCTGCGAGTCAGCGGGTGACCCACTGCACGGACGCGCGCACAGGTCGGCACCTGGCCACGTTCTCCCGTCGGCCGGGGTCGAGCCTCTACACCCTGACCACTGAGTCTCCTCCTGTCCCTGTGTCTGGCCAGGTAGCTGCGTCGGGTCAGGCGATTGCTGCTGCGTCCAGGTCTGGTCCTGAGTCTGCCCCCTGCTCGTGTCGCCACGAGACTCTCCTGTGGCACCACCGTCTTGGCCACCCCTCCTTGCCCCGTCTCAGGGACATGGCTTCCCGTGTCCTTGTCTCTGGTCTTCCCCGGTCTCTCCCTCCCCTTCCTTCGGGGCCAGGACCTTCCTGTGTCCCTTGTGTCGAGGGGCGCCTCCGGGCTGCCCCCCACTCCTCACTGTTTCCTCCGAGAGAGGCTCCTCTGCAGGGGGCAGACTCAGGACCAGACCCTGTCCCCCTGCAGGGGACAGACTCAGGGGGCAGACTCTGCCCGCGTCCGTGGACAGGGTCACGAGCGCTACTTTCTGCTGGTGGTTGACGACTACTCGCGTTTCACCACAGTCTTCCCCTTGCGCAGCAAGGGTGATGTCACTGAGGTGTTGATCGACTGGATCCGCGCAGCTCGTCTCCAGCTCAGGAGGAGCTTCGGCTCGGACTTTCCTGTTCTGCGTCTGCACTTTGACCGAGGCGGCGAGTTTTCCTCTGGCCTTCTTCGAGCCTACTGTCGTGCACAGGGCATCCGCCAGACCTTTACGCTTCCGGACTCTCCACAGCAAAATGGGATTGCTGAGCGCCGCATTGGCATGGTCATGGACGTCGCTCGTACGTCCATGATGCATGCGGCTGCCCCACATTTTCTGTGGCCGTTTGCGGTACGGTACGCGGCGCATCAGATCAACCTTCACCCCGGGGTTTCCCGGCCGGGGAAGGTCCGTACCTCCCCGACCCTCCTGTGGACTGGGAAGGTCGGCGATGCGTCTGCGTTCCGTGTCTGGGGATCTAGGGCGTTTGTCCGCGACTTGTCTGCGGACAAGCTGTCCCCCCGTGCTGCTCCCTGTGTCTTCCTTGGCTTCCCCCCTGACGCTCCAGGGTGGCAGTTCTACCACCCCTCCTCTCGTCGTGTTCTGTCCTCCCAGGACGTCACGTTCGACGAGTCCGTCCCCTTCTACCGCCTCTTCCCCTACCGCACTCCTTCCCTCCCCCCGCCACCGGACTTCCTTGTGCCAGGTCCCCCCCCGGTAGACCTTCTCCCCCCTCAGGTTCCTGCCCCTTCAGGTGTGTCCCAGGTAGACGCCGTCGAGCCGGTTGAGGTTGATGGTGACTCTGGTCCAGCTGCGGGTGCTGAGCCTGGGGGTGCTGACTCTGGGGGTGCTGTGCGTGTGGGTGCTGAGCCTGGGGGTGACGAGTCTGGGGGTGCTGAGCCTGGGGGTGCTGTGCGCGTGGGTGCTGAGCCTGGGGGTGACGAGCCTGCGGTTGCTGAGTCTGGGGGTGCTGCGCCGGAGGGTGTTGAGCCTGGAGGTGCTGCGTCTGGAGCTGCTGAGCCTGGAGGTGCGGAGCCTGCGGCCACTGGACCTCCCCTTGTGGCGTCTGGCGGTGCGGGGCCTGGAGGTTCTCCGGATGCTTCGTCTCGGCGGGAGCCCCTCTCTCCACAGGAGCTGCGCGAGTGGTTTGCTCGCCGCTGGAGGCGTACTACTGGAGCTGGAGCTTCTTCGGCCGCTGAGGGTGCTGGTGCCGCCGGTCCTGGAGCTGCTGGGCCTTCGGGTCCTACTGGAGCTGGAGCTGCTGAGGGTGTCGGTGCTGAGACTGCTGCTGTCTGTCCTGGTGGTGGTCCTGCCGCTGGAGGTGCTGTTGGCGTTGGTGCTACCGCTGAGGCTTCTGGTACTGTCCCTGTTGTGCCTGGAGTCCCCGCGCGGCCTCGGCCGTACTTCGTTCCGCTCCTGCAGTAGGTTCTTGGTCTTCCTCCTTCTGTCGACAGTCCCCCGCTTGTCCAGTCGCCGTCACTGTTAGAGCCAGCCTCCCCACTGCCTGCTCCCTCTCCTTCCACTGGTCCTACTGGAGGTCTTCCTGAGCGTCGTGAGCCTGCGTCTCCTCCCGCGTGGCCTGTTCGAGCTGCTCGCGCTAGTGGTCGCAGTTCGCGTCAGCGTCCTCCTCCTGTCCCTGGCACGCACCGGATGTCTCTGCGTCCGTCCACTGCTCCTCTGCGTGCCCCTTTGCCTTCTCCTCCTGTGTCCTCTCTTCCTGCGCTTTCCGACCCGGAGTCGGACTCTCTTCGTGCTGCCAGCCCTACAGTCACGCGTCTTCTTGCTACTGTTGTCACTGACCCCTCTTTTGAGTCCACTGCTGCGTCCGCTCTTGTCGCTGAGCTCGTCGACTTTGCTGCTCGCTGTCGTCTAGACTACGCTGCTAGTCTTGTTGCTGAGTCTGCGTCTGTCTGTCCTTCGTCCGTCGGGGGTGAGTGTGCTCTTGGCACGGACGTCCTTGAGGACAGGCAGGAGGAGTTCCAGTGTCTGGCTGCTGCTTCACCTCACCTCGCGTCTGTACTACTTGCCCCTGAGGGAGACCCGGATGCACTAGACATCCCGACTCCGCGTTCTTACGCGGAGGCCGTAGAGGGTCCCTACTCCTCTCAGTGGCAGGCAGCTATGGATGCAGAGATGGCTTCCTGGAAGTCCACAGGCACCTACGTTGACGAGGTTCCCCCTCCTGGGGCGAACATCGTCAGTGGCATGTGGATCTTCAGGGTGAAGCGGCCGCCTGGCTCTCCACCTGTCTTCAAGGCGCGGTACGTCGCTCGTGGCTTCAGTCAGTGGCAGGGAGTTGACTACTTTCAGACCTTCTCTCCCACCCCGAAGATGACTACTCTTCGGGTGCTGCTGCACATAGCCGCTCAGCGCGACTACGAGCTTCACTCTCTTGACTTCAGCACTGCTTTCTTGCAGGGCAGCCTGCACGAGGAGATCTGGCTGCGCCGTTCGCCTGGCTTCACTGGGACTCTCCCTCCTAGCACCCAGTGGAGCCTCCGACGGCCAGTCTACGGTCTCCGCCAGGCACCGCGTGAGTGGCACGACACACTGAGGACTACGCTTGCGGCTCTTGGGTTTGCTCCCTCTACTGCTGACCCGTCGTTGTTTCTGCGCACCGGCACTTCTCTGCCGCCGTTCTACATCCTCGTGTACGTCGACGACTTGGTCTTTGCCACTGCTGACACTGCTGGACTCGCCTACGTGAAGTCCGAGCTGCAGAAGAGACACACGTGCACTGACCTGGGTGAACTGCGCAGCTACCTTGGCTTGCAGATCACTCGGGACAGAGCACGCCGCACCATTACCTTGACTCAGTCACACATGGTGCAGCAGGTCCTTCAGCGCTTCGGCTTCACGTACTCCTCGCCTCAGGCCACTCCTCTGGCTACTCGCCACTCGCTCTCAGCTCTGCCTTCGGATGAGTCCGTAGAGTCGAGTGGCCCGTACCCAGAGCTTGTTGGCTGCCTCATGTACCTGATGACCTGCACACGACCTGACCTTGCATACCCTCTTAGCATTCTTGCATGCTATGTTGCTCCTGGGAGACACCGACCAGAGCACATGGCTGCAGCGAAGAGGGTGTTGCGCTACTTGTGCAGTACGTCGGGCATGGGGCTAGTGCTTGGAGGGCGGAGTCCAGTGGTCCTCACTGGTCACGCGGACGCTTCTTGGGCTGACGACCAGGCTACGCAGCGGTCGTCGCAGGGGTACACCTTCAGTCTTGGTTCCGGCTCTGTTTCTTGGCGGGCTACTCGCTCGTCTTCTGTTCTCGGCTCCAGCTGTGAGGCTGAGATCTATGCCGGGGCCATGGCTGCACAGGAGCTTTGCTGGCTCACCTACCTGCTGACTGACCTTGGAGAGGTGCCTCGTTCTCCTCCAGTGTTGTACGTAGACAACAAGGCCATGCTGGCCTTGTGTCGAGAGCAGCGCTTGGAGCACAGAACGAAGCACATTGCTCTCCGCTACTTCCTTGCTCGTGAGCTGCAGCAGCGTGGTCAGTTGCGACTTGCGTACGTGTCCTCTGAGGCCAACACTGCTGATGTTTTCACCAAGGCACTTCCGCCTTGTGATCATCAGCGCTTCTGTACTCAGCTGGGACTTGTACCTGTCTCACCTCACTTGCTCACCTCTTGACCTTGCTTGTTCTCTTACATATATATATACCTGCTCTTGCTTGTTTAGCCTTATATATATATGCCTTCTCTTGCATGTGAACTGGCCTTGTGGCCTTGACCTTGTGCTCGGACTGTGTGGTGACTTTGTGATCCACCCTGAGCTTGCTTTGCTTTGCTTTGCTTGACTGGTCTTGTGACCCCTTGTTCTCCCCCACTTTGCCTATGGGGGTGTGTCAGATTTATATGACATAGCTGTTGTAGGCTATAGTGGGGTAGCACATATAGGGTACAGGTTTCTAGGGTTGTATTTGTACCCAATCTTTCCTTATTCCTGTTCTTTAGTTTCACAGCAGCCGCACTTCATTTTGTACACCTGCTGCAGAGGCAACAAGCCTCCATGTCAATACACCTGCACGGACGTCACCAGCCCGGCTTGGTCTTTCACAGCAGGTACTGCCATTGCCACAGAGCGACAGAGCTTGGCATGAAAGTGTTGGCGCCCTGTAATCACACCCCCCCTATTAGATGTGGTACACCTGCTGCGCAGCAAAAGCAGCCCCAGCAGCCCCTCTAGATGTCATACACCTGCACGGACCACAGCAGCTCGTCCTGCTCCTTCACAGCCGGCGCTGCCACGCCACAGCCAATGGAGCGACAGAGCTTGGCATCAATGTCTTGCCTCCCTACAATCAAACACACCCCACTAGGTGTCATACACCTGTTGCACAGCAGCAGCAGTTGTAGCAGCCCCTTTAGATGTCATACACCTGAACTGATGCCAACAGCTCGTCCTGCTCCTTCACAGCCGGTGCAGCCACGGCCATGGAGCGACACAGCTTGACGGCGTCGGCGGGAGTGACGAAGAGCCACTGCTCGCCCATCTCTGCCAGAAAGTTGGCATCCCACAGCTTGCGCAGCACATCCCTTGATGCACTGGATAGGCAGAGCTGGGAGGGAGTGAGGGTAAATGGGGGTGAGGTGGGGTGAGAGTGAGAGAGGTGAGTTTAGGGGGGTGGCAAAGAGCCACTGCTCTCCCATCTCGACCAGGAAATTGGCGTCCCGCAGCTTGCGCAGCACGTCCCTTGATGCACTGGATAGGCAGAGCTGCAGAGGGGTTGCATACGACCCTCGCTGCTCACGACATCACTCACCAAGGCACGACCCTAAATCTTTTACCGCTTAGCCTTAACACTCCACCCGTCTGTACCTGAATGCTCTTCTCAGACAGGTCTCGGTGGAGCTCCTTCAACCCGTCGATGCCCGACACGTCGATGTCGTGCATGACGCTCAGATCGAGAATGGAGTGCTGTTGGGAGGTGAGGAGGAAAGGAAGGATTGTTGAACAAGAATGAATGAACTAACAGTGAAAATGAGTACAAGTATGAAAACCTAGAAATGTGTACCCCCTATAGGCTAACCCACTGTAGTCTAAACAACTACAACAACATATATAATGTTTGACACACCCCCATAGGCGAAGTGGGGGAGAACTAGGGGTCACAAGACCAGTCAAGTAAAGCAAAGCAAAGCAAAGCAAGCTCAGGGTGGATCACAACGTCACCACACAATCCGAGCACAAGTTCAAGGCCACAAGGCCAGTTCACATGCAGGAGTACATATATATATATAAGACTAAACAAGCAAGAGCAGTAATATATATATGTAACAGTACAAAGAGGGTCAAGAGGAGAGCAAGTGAGGCAAGACAGACACAAGACCCAGCTGGGTACAGCAGCGCTGATGATCACAAGGCGGAAGTGCCTTGGTGAAGACATCAGCAGTGTTGGCCTCAGAGGCCACGTACGCAAGTCGCAACTGACCACGCTGCTGCAGCTCACGAGCAAGGAAGTAGCGGAGAGCAATGTGCTTTGTTCTGTGCTCCAGTCTCTGCTCTCGACACAAGGCCAGCATGGCCTTGTTGTCGACGTACAGGACTGGAGGAGAACGAGGCGGCTCTCCAAGGTCGGTCAGCAGGTAGGTGAGCCAGCGAAGCTCCTGAGCAGCCATGGCCCCTGCGTAGATCTCAGCCTCACAACTGGAGCCGAGAACAGAAGACGAGCGAGTAGCCCGCCACGAAACAGAGCCGGAACCAAGGCTGAAGGTGTAACCCTATGACGACCGCTGCGTAGCCTGGTCGTCAGCCCAAGAAGCGTCTGCGTGTCCAGTGAGGACCACTGGACTCCGCCCTCCAAGCACTAGCCCCATGCCCGACGTACTGCACAAGTAGCGCAACACCTTCTTTGCTGCAGCCATGTGCTCTGGTCGGTGTCTCCCAGGAGCAACATAGCGTGCAAGAATGCTAAGAGGGTATGCAAGGTCAGGTCGTGTGCAGGTCATCAGGTACATGAGACAGCCAACAAGCTCTGGGTACGGGCCACTCGACTCTACGGACTCATCCGAAGGCAGAGCTGAGAGCGAGTGGCGAGTAGACAGAGGAGTGGCCTGAGGCGAGGAGTACGTGAAGCCGAAGCGCTGAAGGACCTGCTGCACCATGTGTGACTGAGTCAGGGTAATGGTGCGGCGTGCTCTGTCCCGGGTGATCTGCAAGCCAAGGTAGCTGCGCAGTTCACCCAGGTCTGTGCACGTGTGTCTCTTCTGCAGCTCGGACTTCACGTAGGCGAGTCCAGCAGTGTCAGCTGTGGCAAAGACCAAGTCGTCGACGTACACGAGGATGTAGAACGGCGGCAGAGAGGTGCCGGTGCGCAGAAACAGCGACGGGTCGGCAGTAGAAGGAGCGAACCCAAGAGCCGCAAGCGTAGTCCTCAGTGTGTCGTGCCACTCACGTGGCGCCTGGCGGAGACCGTAGACTGGACGCCGGAGACTCCACTGGGTACCAGGAGGGAAAGACCCAGTGAAGCCAGGTGGGCGGCGCAGCCAGATCTCCTCGTGCAGGCTGCCCTGCAAGAAAGCAGTGCTGAAGTCGAGAGAGTGCAGCTCGTAGTCCCGGTGAGCAGCAACGTGCAGCAGTACCCGAAGAGTGGTCATCTTCGGGGTGGGGGAGAAGGTCTGAAAGTAGTCAACTCCCTGCCGCTGACTGAAGCCACGAGCCACGTAATGCGCCTTGAAGACAGGCGGAGAACCCGGCGGTCGCTTCACCCTGAAGATCCACATGCCACTGACGATGTTCGCCCCAGGAGGGGGGACAGCGTCAACGTAGGTGCCTGTGGACTTCCAGGAAGCCATCTCTGCATCCATAGCTGCCTGCCACTGAGAGGAGTAGGGACCCTCTATCGCCTCCGCGTAAGAGCGCGGAGTCGGGATGTCAAGTGCATCCGGGTCTCCCTCAGGGGTAAGTAGTACGGACACGAGATGAGGTGAAGCAGCGGCCAAGCACTGGAACTCCTCTTGCCTGTCCTCAAGGACGTCCGTGCCAAGGGCACACGCACCCCCGACGGACGGAGGACAGACAGACTCAGACTCAGCGACAAGACTCGCAGCGTAGTCTAGGCGACAGTGAGCAGCAAAGTCTTCGAGCTCAGCAACTAGGGTAGACGCAGCAGCAGTCTCGAAAGAAGGGTCAGTGACGGCAGTAGCAAGGAGACGCGTGACAGTAGGACTGGCAGCACGAAGAGAGTCTGACGCAGGGTCGGCGAGAGCAAGAAGAGAGGACGCAGGAGGAGAAGGCAAAGGGGCACGCAGAGGAGCAGTAGACGGACGTAGAAACATCCGGTGCGTGCCAGGGGCAGGAGGAGGACGCTGGCGCGAACTACGAGCACTAGCGCTAGCAGGACGGACAGGCGACGCAGGACGGGACGCAGACTCACGAGGCTCAGTAAGACCGCCAGTAGGACCAGTGTAAGGAGAAGGAGCAGGTAGTGGGGAGGCCTGCTGCAACTATAACTGTGACGGGACAGGCTGTGAACACGCTAAGGGAGGAGGACCAGGAGGAGGCGAGAGACCAAGAACCTGCTGAAGGAGCGGAACGAAGTACGGCTGAGGGCGCGTGGCGACTCCAGACACAGCAGGGACAGCACCTGTACCCCCAGCGGCAGGACCAGAACCAGCAGCAGCTCCAACGCCCAGGTCCTCAGCACCAGTAGGGACTCCAACACCAGGGTCCACAGCACCAGCCGCAGCTCCAACGCCCGGGTCCTCAGCACCAGTAGCACCTCCAACTCCCGGGTCCGTAGCACCAGCAGCAGCTCCAACGCCAGGGTCAGCAGCACCAGCCACAGCCCCAACGCCCGGGTCCTCAGTACCAGCAGCACCTCCAAATCTCGGGTCCGCAGCACCAGCAGCAGCTCCAACGCCCGGGTCCGTAGCACCAGCAGCAGCCGGGTCCATGAGACGAGGCGCACCACTCCGAAGTGTGCAACGGCGCTCGTACCACTCACGGATCCGCTCACGAGAGGGGAGCTCCAGACTAGGAGGAGGATTACCAGCACCAGTCCCTGAAGTGCGCCTGGTCCCAGAGGTACCTCTCCGGAGGCTGCAGTACTGTAAGTACCACTCACGCAACTGCTCCGAGGAGAGGTCTCGTCCAGGTGTAGTACCCTCAGGCCCAGCACCGCCAGAGTCAGAACTCCCAGACCCAGCACCCCCAGGCTCAGCACCCCCAGTCACCGCACCCCCAGGCTCAGCACCCCCAAGCTCAGTACCCCCAGTGTCCGCACCCCCACGCTCAGCACCCTCAGAGTCCGCACCCCCAGGCTCAGCACCCCCAGAGTCCGCACCCCCAGGCTCAGCACCCCCAGAGTCCGCACCCCCAGGCTCAGCACCCCCAGCAGGACGAGAGTCGACAGCAACCTCAACAGGCTCGACCGGGTCTACCTGAGACACACCTGAGGGAGCGGCACCCTGAGGGGGGAGGGGGTCTACGACAGCAGCACCTGGCGCGAGGAAGAGAGGCGGGGGTGGGAGCGGGGCAGTGCGGTAGGGGAAGAGGCGGTAGTAGGGGACACACTCGTCAAAAGTGGCGTCCTGAGAGGGCAAGACCCGGCGCGAGGTGGCGTGGTAAAACTGCCAACCAGGCGCGTCCGGGACAAAGCCGAGGAAGACGCAGGGAACAGCACGAGAGGAGAGCTTGTCCGCAGACGAATCGCGGACAAAAGCTCGAGATCCCCAGACCCGGAAACGCGACGCATCGCCAACCTCCCCCGTCCACAGCAGTGTGGGCGAGGTCTCCGGCAAGGAGACACGGAACCAGAGGTTGAGCTGATGCGCAGCGTACCGGACCGCAAACGGCCACAGAAAGTGGGGGGCAGCCGCATGGATCAAGGAGGTACGAGCGACCTCCATGACCAGGCCAATGCGGCGCTCCGCAACCCCATTCTGCTGTGGAGAGGCCGGAAGTGTGAACGACTGCTCAATGCCGTGCTCAGCACAGTAGGCTGCCAGGAGGTCGGAGGAGAACTCACCACCTCTGTCAGAGTGCAGGCGCAGGACAGGAAAGTCCGAGCGGAAACGCTCGCTGAGCAGGAGACGAGCTCTGCAGATCCAAGGGATCAAAACATCAGGGACCTCACCCTTGGTGCGCAAGGGGAAGACCGTGGTGTAGCGCGAGTAGTCGTCAACAACGATCAGGAAGTACCTTTCCTGACCCTGACCACGAATGCGGGCTGGGCCCCACACGTCCATGTGGAGCGTCTGCAAAGGAGCAGTCGTCGGGGGAAACGAGGAGGAGTGAGGGGCGGCGCGCTGCCGCCCCTCGACACAGGGAAGACAGGGAGGAGCAGGCGAGGGTGGGAGGGGAGGGAGGACCCTGGGAAGACCAGAGACAAGGTACCGGGAGTGCATGGCACGAAGGCGCTGCACAGACGGGTGGCCCAGTCGGTGGTGCTAGAGGATAGTCTCGTGCGCTAGAGAGCGACACGAGCAGGGGGCGGACAGCTGACCTGACGCGGACGTAGACGCAGACGCAGCGAACTGAGGGGGGGCAGTAGTCAGTGTGTACAGGTCCGACCCCGGCTGCCGGGTGAAGGTAGCCAAGTGGCGGCCTGTACGGGCACACGTGCAGTGTGTGACACGCTCGTAGGCAAGGGTGAACTGGTGAACACCCGCGTCCTGTAGTGCACAACCTGCCACCAAGTTTGTAGAGAATGAGGGGAGGTGGAGACCTGACAGTGTGCCCGACGGGACCGCAGGACAGGGAAGGACAGTGGAGGAGGTCGCAAAGACCGGACCCCCAGAGGGGTCAGCGAGGGAGACAGCAACTGGCCGAGCAAGGGGCTCAAGGGCAGTGCGGTCACGAAAGAAACAGCGAGAGGCACCTGAATCCAGTGTGAAGGTGTGCAGTGCTGCAGTCGACACAGTACTAGGGGGGGCAGACGTACACGCACCTAGAGTAGCAGCCTCACCAGCACCTGGGGCAGCGGACACGCGAGTACCTGGAGCGGCAGACGCACTAGTCCTAATGCTCGGGTCGGGCGGGACACTCAGGTACTCAGCACCCTCTCCACTAGTAGACATCACATACATGGCAGTGAGAATAGCATCAAAGTCTAGAGCATAAATATCAATCCCCTTCTTCAGGAGATCAACCCAGCGGGGCAGCTCAGTGGCCTGAGGGAACTGAACCCGCCAAGCGTCGTTCAGACGAGCGAAGCAACGCTGTGTGGCGTGCGGTCCCCCACACGGCTGGCCAGTGCGGTCACCAGTGCGAATGACGTACGTGCAGCTATGGCCACCCCCCCCCCCCCCCCCCCCCCCCCCCCCGTGCTGAGAGTACCACTCACGGACCTCCTGGGGCGACGGAGTGTGCTGCTGGCCCTGGCCACCGCCAGTGCCTCCACGACCACTACCGCCGCTACCACCTCCTCGACCACCCCAGCCCGGGCCGCTGCCTCGTCCACCGCCACCCCCACTACCTCCTCCGCCCCGGCCACCTCCCCCGCCGCTGCCGCCACCCCCCCCCACTGCTGCCACCTCCCCCACCCGCGCCACCCCCCCCGCCACCACCACCTCCCCCACCACCGCCACCCCCGCTGTCACCACCACCGCCCTTGCCCCCCTTGCCCTTTCCACTGCGGCGCCCACTCGAAGTAGACGCAGTCCCGACCTTCTCAGCACCAAGGAGGTCGACAGCAGCAGCAGATGCGACAGAGGGAAGAAGGGGGGAGGGAGAACACCCCTCAAAGAACGGGGTACGGGGGTCACCGCGAGAGGCACCTACAGCAACTATGCTAGCCTCAGCTGCAAGGAGTTCCTTCTCGAGGAGGGCAATGGTGAGCTCGGTGGGGCAGCGAGCTAGGAAGTGGTCCCTGACTGAGCGCAAAGTGTCAGGGAGGCGCGTGACTAGGTGGTAGAGAGTGAGCCAGAGCGGGGGTGGGTTCGTGGCAAGGAACTCATCAGGCATAGCAGCGTGGAAGCGAGCCTCACTAGTGCGGAGGTGGGTAATGAGATCAGCGACAGTGTGGAAGGAAGCTAAGTCGGGGAACAGGTAGGGAAGAGAGAGACGGCCTAGAGCGGCAGAGGCCGGTGAGGAGTAGCGGGCAACGACAGCAGTGTACAGTGCCTGTGCAGTCTTGTGCTGCCCAAAGTGCTCGCGCTCATCTATCGGCAGAGAGTTGCGAATAGCGAAGCGAGCATGGGCGTCACGAGTCTGCCACTGTGAGCGGGCAGTGCTGTCAGCAGTAGCAGCAGGAGCAGTAGTGTGGCCTAAGGCGTGATTGTACAACGAGATGTCTTCCTTGGCAGTGAGCTGTAGGAAGAGGTGTAGGTCATCAAGCCAGGTGTCGAACTTCACTGGGCGGCCCTCAGCATCGAAGGCTAGCACAGGAGGGCTAGCCATGGTAGCAGCAGTAGGAAAAGCAGTAGGAGTAGTAGGGTAGGTAGGGCGGCGCGGCTCGGTACAGGTAGGGCGGCGCGGCTCGGTATAGGTAGGGCGGCGCGGCTCGGGTCGGGCGGCGCGGCTCGGTTCGGGCGGCTCGGGTCGGGCGGCGCGGCTCCGTTAGGGCTGGGCGGCTCGGGTCGGCTCGGTTCGGGCGGCTCGTTCTGGGTGGGGCCGTTCGGGGCCGCTAAGGGCGAGCGCGGGGAGCGGGTGGGGCCGTGAGGGACGAGCGCGGGGCCGACGTGGGCGCTAAGGGCGAGCGCGGGGCCTATCGGGGCCGTGAGGGACGAGCGCGGGGCCGATCGGGGCCGTAAGGGACGGGCGCGGGGCCGACGTGGGCCTCTAAGGGCGAGCGCGGGGCCTATCGGGGCCGTGAGGGACGAGCGCGGGGCCGATCGGGGCCGGAAGGGACGAGCGCGGGGCCAACGCGGGCCTCTAGGGGTAAGCGCGGGGCCGATTCAGGGCCGTTAAGGACGAGCACGGGGCCGACGCGGGCCTCTAGGGGTAAGCGCGGGGCCGATTCGGGGCCTCTAAAAGTGAGCGCGGGGCCGACCGAGGTCTCTAGGTGCGAGAGCGCGGGGCCGACGGGGCCTCTAGGGGCGTGAAAGCCGAGGCGCCCTAGGGCGTAGGTAGGTAGGTAGGTAGGTAGGTAGGTAGTGGTGGGCCCTAAAAAAATTGGTCCTAGGAAGGACCTGCTCTATACCATGTTGAACAAGAATGAATGAACTAACAGTGAAAATGAGTACAAGTATGAAAACCTAGAAATGTGTACCCCCTATAGGCTAACCCATTGTAGCCTAAACAACTACAACAACATATATAATGTTTGACAAGGATAGGATATGCGGTAAGCAACACGTCAATATCGTGCATGACACTCCTGGGAATGCAATGTTGAAGGTGGGAGGAGGAGAAACTTGGGGGAGGGAGTAAGGGGATGAGAGGGAGGAGAGGGAGTGGAAGTATTGGTGGGAAAGAGAGGGGCAGTGCATTGGGCAACACGTCAATGTCATGCGTGACGGGCAAGTCTAGAATGCAATGCCATAGGGTCGCAACGAGGAAGAGAGTGTGAGCTGAAATCAGCCCCAGGAAAGTACAGGCAGACTCTCAATCCCCCCAACCCCCCAACCTCAGGAACCATTCCCAAGCCCCTCACTCACAACAGAATCAATTGGACTCACTCACCCGTGCAGGTTGCTGGTACCCTCTCGCATACGCATCACAGCTTCTTGATGCGCTGCCTGCACAAAATCGTGGCAGGGAAATACAGCGGCTCTCTATCCTCCCCAACCCCCCATCCTCACTAAGCCCTCACCAAGCCCTCTACAGCAGCAAAATCACCAGACTCACCCGCACGGGTTGCTGGTACCCCCTCGCATACGCATCACACAGCTTCTTGATGCGCTGCCGGCAGAAATTCGCAGCCGGGAAGTACAGCGGGCTCTCGATCCTCAGCATCACGATCCCCTCGCACAGCGTGCTGTTGGGGAACTGTAGCACGCTCACGGCTGTAGCGGCGCCGCCCGGGAGCAGGCTGAGCAGGCCGAGCAGGCGGATGTGCGGGCAGACAATGCGCAGGAGCAGCTTGAGGACGGAGAGCACGGAGGCGACTAGCAGGCCGATCTCGGGTGAACTGATACGAGGAAGCAGCCGAGGATGACCATGAAGTCCAGCTTGTCTACGCACCAGATTGTAAACTCTGCCTTGAAGTTGAGCTGGGAGGGGAGAAAGAACAGAGACAGGGAGTACGCTAATAAGGGGAGAGTCATTAGGAGCAGGCGAGCATGAGTATGAAGTCGAGCTTGCCCACCCCCCGGATCGTAAACGCTACTTCAAAGTCGAGCTGGGAGGGGGATACGAACAGATGGGATGGGATAGGGGAATACGTTAGTGAATATGAAAGCTGGAATAAGAGGATAAGGGGTAGAGAGTTGGGAGCAGCCGAGCATGAGTTTGAAATCAAGCTTGTCAGCCTGCCAGATCTGAGACGAGGCCTTGAAGTCAAGCTGATTGGGGGGGGAGATGGGGAGACGAGAATATGTGATGGGATAACGGAATATGGGAACGAGTGAAGAAGGAAATAACGTATGAGGGACAAAGGGGAAGAGTCGTTGAGAGCAGTCGAGCATGCCGACGAATGGAATAAGGGAGGAGTTTGTCAAGAAAAGGTCGTTGGGAAGCTTCCGACACGCATCGACAGATTCATTGACAAGTTGAGTGACTTGGAAAGCAATCAAGTGGAGCAAACAAGGTGACGGGTGGAGCAGACAAGTTGACGGGTACACTCTATGCCATGCTGTCTGGGTACTGGCCATCGTTTGATGGCGGGGTGAGGCGATTGGATGAGAGCAGGGATTGGGAGGATTCCTGCTGGTGGTTTGTGTCGCAGCAGGCGAAGAATCTCGTCTGTCGGATGCTGTCGGTGGATCCTGAGATGCGACCTACGGCTGAGGAGATTTTGAGCGATCCGTGGGTGAAGGGGCAAGGCGGAGAGATCGTGCGGTATAGGCCGACTCCTTTGTTGCAACAAGCCGTTTCAACAAGCAAACAGCGCCCTTTTCGAGCCCGAGGTCGTTGCAATTTGACTGCAAAGACGCTAAGAGGAAAACCAGACAGGGGAGAGTCTGAGGGTGCTGCTGTGGGTGCAGCAGAGACTAGCAGCACATCATCTACAGGGGTGATGACAGTAGCTACACTGCAGTCGTACCCTTCACTTCACACACGTCTGTATCTTCTTCCATTATCTCTCCATCCTCCTTTCCTAGTGTCCAAGACCAAGAAGGATGCAAGCAGCAGGGTGGGTTCAGAAATTAGGTGGCAAGAGTAGGGTGTACAACAGTCAAAATCAGAGGGTAGCATAATCAAGCAAAGATTTGCCTGAGGCAATAGCCGTAGATAGTGAGGAGCTAGTTCAAAAGGGCTGAAATACAGCACTCCTAACCATGCTTTTTATGCATGCAGTGCTGTAAAACCTCAAGAACAAAACGAAGGAAGTTTTACAACCCACCAAATTTGTTTAAATAAAAGCAAACCGACAATCTCATACAAAAGGAAGTAAAAATCAACAGCCCACCAAGGTTGCTTCACATTGAAAAAACCAGCAGGTAATGACGATGTGCGGGGTGTCGAACTTCAGAAATTGCTCGCGCGAGAGCCAATCAAGTGGCGCCACCCGCATGTCCGGTATGTGCGGGGGACTTTCAAGCAGCGGGACTGGGAGATTCCAGTCCTGGTCGTCGTCGTCGTTGAAGTCGTGGCGCGGGCTGAACGGGTTGTTGTTGGTGAACGTGCTGATGGGGTGCGGTGCTGGCTCCGGTGAGGGTGAGCGAACACGGCCACGACGTGACTCGCCTGTCATGGCCATGTTGCTCATGACGTTGCGCGTAGGGGCAGTTGATGGCTGCTGCTGCTGATGCTGAACGGTTGAGTTCAGATTGCGCGCGGGTGGGGGTTGATACCCTTGGGCTGGACGCACGTCGCCTCGTGCGTCTTATCGGCCGGACCAGTTGCTCGGATTGGTCTGGCGAGGGCGAGATCGGAACTTACATCGATCCGCCAAATGCCCGAAGTTTCTGCAGATTTCGCAGTAGAGGCGCCGCGATCGTCGCTCTTCGTTGTTGTCGGCGTAGAAGGCGAGCCGTTCACGTTCTCGTCATGGCGCTGGTCGCTGCTGATCCATATCCTGTTGTTCGACGAGAAGGGCGGCGCAAAGGGCGGCCTCCAAGATGACCCCCTGCTGTCGGAGGAGCGCCTTGCAGGGCCGCCACTCTGGGCCAAGCCCTTGAAGCACAATGTTTACGAAGATTTCCTCAGAAATTGAGCTTCCCAACTTCACGATTTGATCGCGAAGGCTCCGACAGCGGTTGATGTAACTGTTGACCTTCTCCCCTGAGGTAATCTTAGTTTCCAGCAGTTGCTGGAGTAGTCGGCTCGAGGAGACGGAGTCCTTGGGCTGATATTGCCGTTCAGGTGGCGCCAAGCGTCGAGGGCTGGGGCAGCCGATGTCTTGTATGAACGAATGTTCAGATGCTCCGCCGGCGACATGTTACGCAGAAGAATCCCGTACGCCATCAGGGACTCGTTATAATAGCGAGTCTTTGCGTCGTCGGTTTCCTCAGCAGGTCCCGAGTAGCTCCCGTTGAAATAATGATAAATCTGCGCGTTTTGCAGCAGCAGCTCCAGCTCGAAGCTCCAAGTGTAAAAGTCTCTGCCGTCAAAGCACACGCTTGTCTTTATTTTTGATATGCTCAAAAACCTTGATTGCGCGGAGAGAATTGCTTCATCGCTGGGACAGGGAGTCTTGGGGGTTGAGCCATTCGTATCTAGGGAGAAGCCTTGCGGGGCGGAGTTTTGGCCGGTCGGTTGAGTGGGTTGGGAAGAAGTTCCCGCATCGCCATTCCGCAATGTCTAGAGCCCTTGCTCCAGGCTTGTGAGTCGTTGAAGCAGTTGTGCGAGGACGACGGAAGGAATCGTCGTTGTTTCCTCGTTTGTCGCAGCTGGGTTGGGCTGCGCTTCAGCCGTCAGATTCGTCTGACCTCCAGATCCTCCGGCCATTCTTACACGTGATCGTGTGCCGGACGCCACTTTCCGAATGTCGCAGATTTCGGAGATGGCGGTGCGAAGGATTCCTGAGTTGCTCTCATACCATGCTGCGATCAGAGGTTGATCGTGTGGAGATAAACTCTACAGCGGTAGTGAGACGGACTACAGGGTTGGCACGAACTACTAGAGGTGATCGTAGCTTTGCTTGGTTCCTTAGTGCTTGCACATTCACGGGAGAAATTGGCAAGAGTTTCCACTAGCAAAGTTGAGAATTCCAGAATGATAGAAGAAGCAATGACAACAATGACTACATCAGGCACCTAGCAACCCTGCAGCTAGCCTGGTCGACCGCCAGCGCAGCTCGGTCGACCGCCTGCCAGCATTGCGTAGAGGAGCCGCGCCAGCACTGCAGAAGGGCGACCTGCCAACAAAGCAGGTCGACGGCGTGCCCCGTAGAACACAGCAGTGCGCGCGCTCGCAGGTGTGCGCAGGCGATTGGCCCGACTTGCCTCGTTGGGCATCCGTCGGCTGTTGTCTGCGCCTGACGAGCCACATCGACTTCGGGATACCAATCCGAAGTCGCCTGCGCCATCGCGATCTTGACGACGTTCGCGAGCCTTCGCAGTACTCGTCGAGCAGGTTACTCGGTCAACCTGGTCGACCCCTGGTACTCTGGTCGACCCCCAGGTGCCTCCGGTCGACCACTGGGCCCCTCTGTTCGACCACTAGGCGCTCCTGGTCGACCACAACTCCCGTCGAGCTACCCCCTGGTCGACGGACCCCTTCCGTCGACCAGAACTGCTCTGTCGACCTCCCGGTCGAACTGTAGGTCGACGGACTGCTTCGTCGACCTCCCGGACGGCCCACCCGTCGCACAAACCAGTCAGTTGCAGTTGTCGAGCTCCTTGGTCGACAGTAACACCACAGTGGTCCGCTGCAGCTCGACGTAACCTGTCAAGCAGCTATCCCACTGTGAACGGTCGGCTGCTACTCCCGTGCATCCGACCAAGTCGTCGGCGTTGCCCAAGCGAGGGTGGGGCCAACACTCCATTCCTGTTAACACTCCCCTGCCGCGCTCACGCTTGGGCCTCCAGCCCACACGGCAGTACTCCACGGAGAAAACTCGTCCTCGGCGTGCACCACACAGCACGCCATCACCGCACCAGCCGTGCAGAAGGGCACGGCACCTACTGCTGCACCTCGTCGTCACCGTCGCCGACGTCGACCAGGCGAACTTGGCCGATGGCGACAGAGCACCGGTTGAAAGCCGGAAAATGCAGCGCCTTCGTCAGGAAGTCCGCCGGCTGTTCGGTGGTAGGGATGTAGTTCAGCACAAATTTCCCGCGCCTCACCATGTGCTGCAGCCAGGCGTAGCGTCGCTCCATGTGCTTGAGGTTGCCCGTCAGCCCCAAGCCCTTAGCGACCGTGATTGCCGACTTGTTGTCGACGCGGAGGATGGTCGGCTTCCCATCGTCGAGCAGCTTGAATTCCGCAAGGAGGAAGCGAAGTCGACGCCCCTCTTTGCCGGCGTCCGTTGCCGCCACATACTCCGACTCGGTCGATGACAATGTCGCGCACTTGATGCGCGAGCTCGACCAGGAGACTGCGGCCCCTCCGTAGACGAACACGTAGCCTCCCGTGCTCGTCCGGTTCTGCTTGTCCCCCGCGTCGTCAGCATCGACGTAGCCAATCAGCTCCAACGATTCTGGTCCACCGCCAAACTCCAGGGCAGTGTCGCGGGTGTCGCCGAGATAGGCGAGACAGCGGTCAACCTCGCGCCAATGCTGGTCGCTCCTCACCGTGAGGCCGCTCCCCAGCTTGCTGCAGGCGAACGCGATGTCCGGCCTGGTCGTCGTCGCCGCAAACTGCAGCGAGCCGACCTTCTACCGGTACTCCTCCTCCTTGCGCTCTTGAGCCTCCTCGTCGTCGAACGTCAGCTGAGCGTAGGCGTCAACCGAGACTGGCGTCTTCGGGACTCGACCGCCCTGCTCCTCGTCGATGAAGCGCCAGCGCAGCTTGTCGGCGTAGCCCTGCTGGTGCAGCCACAGCTTCCTGGCCGGCCTGTCGCGCAAGATCTCCAGCCCAAGGTACTTCACCACTGGTGAGATCTCACGTAGCTCGAAGGCGGCCTCCAGCAGCTCTTTCAGCTCCTTCAGCATCGCAGTGCTGCTGCTAGCGGCAAGCAGGTCGTCGACGTAGACCAGCACCCAGCAGGTCACTCCGTCGT